TATATATATATATATATATTATATTTATACATATATACATATATATATACTGAACATATATAAAGTATAAAAATTTCGAATTAAGTTATACATACAGCTACGAAAATAAATGCAACGTACTCACGTATGTATATACATGCAACATGATAAAGTTGAAATTTTAACGGAGAACGATATGATTGCTTACCTGATTCAGCGCATAATTACCAACAAGTACGCCTGACGCGCCCGCGTCCTCACAATTCTTGACCTTCTCCATGTAAGTACACTGACCGCCACGCATCACAAAAAAGACAAACTTTTCGTCTACATTACTTTCTGGTGGTGTGAAGTCGAACGGTTCGCATGCTTCTGACATCGGTGCTTCATATAGATTCATCCGTTGGAGAGTATCTGTAGGTCCAAACAGACCGTATATGCCACGGAAATGATATGTGTGAGGAGCTGCATCTACGAAGATCTCAGCGATTTGCTGAGCCTTCACAGACGTGGCTATAAGGAAAACTAACAGAGAGACCGCCTTGAGCGCGTTGCCTTGGCACAGCATGAGGGATCTTGGTAGTACTACTGTGCTCAACTTGGAATGAATGCAGTTTAGAAATTGAAGTGAATACAATATTAGCTCCACTATATAGAATTATAGAAGTTATAAACTGATTCAATATGGGGTGAAAGAACTGTTATTACTCTCTTGTGTCAAGAAACGAATCCAGTCACCCCCAGGGCCACAGAGAGTGGCAGAGACTACTGGCTGGTAGAGACTAGACTCCGAGAGAGAGTGACTCGCCAGAGACGCCAGTCACCAATTCACCATTTTGTCAAACGAGAAGGGCAGAAAATTAGAAAGTAAAAACATCATCATGCATTTGTTTTCAGAGACCGGGGAGTCGGGCACTTGGGGTTAGTGGGGACTGGGACTGGGCCCACTGGGGCCTGGAACTGGGGACTGAGGACTAAGGCCTGTGGACAGGACTGGGGTCTGGGGTCTGGGTTCTGGAGTTCTGGGGTCTAAATAGAGGTAGTGGGGTCAAGGTCTCGGGACTACTGATGACTACTGAGGAGTGAGGGCAGAGGGGACTGGGGACTGAGGACTGAGGACTGGGGACTGGGGAGCGGATTGCCAGACCAAAATTTTCGAGATTTGTTAAGACTGCGACCACTATGACTGCGACTCTCGACTGCGACCACTATGCCTGCGACTCTCGACTGCGACCACTATGCTTGCGACTCTCGACTGCGACCACTATGCCTGCGCCCACTATGCCTGCGACCACTATGCCTGCGACCACTATGCCTGCGACTCTCGACTGCGACTACTATGCCTGCGACTCTCGACTGCGACCAGTAAGTTTGCCTCTCTCACATATGTTTTTATTGCCATACCTACGGAGAGAGATACAGAGTAACGGAGTGACAGAGTAGTACCGTGCAACCGACACCCTTTCAAATTAAAGAAAAGGAGAAATAAATATATGGGATATGCCGTTGAGAATTATTTGTCATTATTGAATGAGAAAGGACGGTGTGCCACTAATGAACCGGCATGGTGTGGCACATGGACTTTGTGTAACTAGGTATGTGCTATTTATTGTCTGTCGGAAAAAATATATCATCAAAAATTGGCAATTCATAATTGAATATTTTTTTATGTTTCCACCCTTCTCAGATTTGTCGATTGAGTATGCAAGGAAAGAACAAGAGCTTGTGATGTACAGGTACGGTAAGCTGTATATTCTTACATATATCATTCCGATTATTAGGGTTTGGGGACGTA